AGGGGGACGGACGGACAAGGGGACAGCTGGGACACGCGTGGGGACAGGGGGGAAAGGGATCTCTGTGGGCACGGGGATGTGGGGCACGTGGTTATGGGGTGGCACATGGTTATGGGGTGGCACGTGGTTATGGGGTGACCCCCACAAAGCAGGGGACACTCTGGGGACAGGGACAGCCCCACAGGGACACCCCTGTGGGCACAGGGACCTCTCCTGGGGACAGGGACTTCCTCTGGGGACAGGGACATCCCCTGGGGACAAGGACATCCCTTCGGTCACAGGGACCACCTCTGGGGACAAGGACATTCCCTTGGGGACAGGGACATCCCTGGGGACAGGGACCTCCTCTGAGGAGAAGGACATCCCCTTGGGGACAAGGACCTCCCCATGGGGACAGGGACATCCTCTGGGCACAGGGACATCCTCTGGGGACAGGGACATCCCCGTGGGCACAGGGACAATCTGGGCATGGGGACATGTGGCACATGGTTATGGGGTGACACGTGGTTATGGGGTGACACGGTGACACCAGAGCCGTGGGGACAGGGCAAGGAGACCCCCACAAAGCAGGGGACACTCTGGGGACAGGGACATCCCCTTGGGGACATCCCTGTGGGCACAGGGACCTCCTCTGGGGACAGGGACATCCCCTTGGGGACAGGGACATCCCCATGGGGACAGGGACCTTCTCTGGGGACAGGGACATCCCCTTGGGGCACAGGAACCATCCCTGGGGACAAGGACATCCCCTTGGGGACAGGGACAACCCCACAGGGACAGGGACCTCCTCTGGGGACAAGGACATCCCTGTGGGCACAGGGACATCCCCTTGGGGACAGGGACATCCCCTTGGGGACAAGGACCACCCCAGGGGACAAGGACATCCCTGTGGGCACAGGGACCTTCTCTGGGGACAAGGACATCCCCTTGGGGACAGGGACATCCCTGTGGTCACAGGGACATCCCCTGGGGACAGGGACATCCCCTTGGGGCCAGGTGCCACCCCAGGGGACAGGAACATCCCTGTGGTCACAGGGACCTTCTCTGGGGACAAGAACATCCCCTTGGGGACAGGAACCACCCCTGGGGACAGGGACATCCCCTTGGGGCCAGGTGCCACCCCAGGGGACAGGAACATCCCTGTGGTCACAGGGACCTTCTCTGGGGACAAGAACATCCCCTTGGGGACAGGAACCACCCCTGGGGACAGGGACCTCCTCTGGGGACAGGTGCCACCTCTGGGGACAAGGACATCCCCTTGGGGACAGGGACCACCCCAGGGGACAAGGACATCCCTGTGGGCACAGGAACCACCCCTGGGGACAGGGACATCCCCTTGGGGCCAGGTGCCACCCCAGGGGACAGGAACATCCCTGTGGTCACAGGGACCTTCTCTGGGGACAGGGACATCCCCTGGGGCACAGGAACCATCCTTGGGGACAAGGACATTCCCTTGGGGACAGGTGCCACCCCAGGGGACAGGGACATCCCCTTGGGAACAGGTGCCACCCCTGGGGACAGGGACATCCCTGGGGACAGGGACATCCCCTTGGGGACAGGGAGATCCTCGGGGGACAAGGACATTCCCTTGGGGACAGGTGCCACCCCAGGGGACAGGGACACCCCCGCGGGCACAGAACGTTGTTGGGGACAGGGCCACCCCGATGGCCCTGGGCCACCTCACCTCCCCTTGGCCTCAGCAGGCCATGGCCTTGGTGACACGGTGGCACCCGAGGGGACACTGGTGGCACCCAAGGGGACACTGGTGACACCCAAGGGGACACTGGTGGCACCTGGAGGGGGGGTCTCACCTCTGGCCCGTGCCCCTGCCCCTCTTGCCGGGGGGGTGCCCCGCGGGCAGGGCCGGGGCCTCCTCGTCGGTGGCCACGATGTAGTCGTAGATGCCCCGGTTGAACTGGGCGATGACGTGGCACCTGGGGGACAAGGACATGTCACCCTCACTGTCCCCCCCACCCCCCCTTTGGTGTGACACCCCCCAGA